TCTAACAATTAAAAAATTAATGAAGTAAACTGTTTCGCCAAAAGAATCAGTCACGGATGGTTTTTGATTAAAAAAGACTTTAATATTCAACAGTGCGTGTGGGTTATGCATAATAGGATTCCACTATACTTCCATCACAATATTTTCTTATTCGAGACTGTATTTTTTTAATACGGATATAATACAATTGAAAATATATTTCAGAAAAAACTTCGTGTACGTAACATGTATGTTCCTTCAGAGTCTTTGTAGCTGTCGCAATATACATACAGACACGATTTATTAAGTATTTATAAAGCTTGAAATTTTCGTCACCATTAACTTAAAAAAATGTCACATCCTATACATCTACTGAATCTCACTCGAAATGGCCCTTGTTAAATCTCTATTTTTAGTACATGATTTTAGTAAACTTCTCAACAAACAAGGTACTGTGGAAAAATAAATACTTTTTCCCGCAATAAGCTTGACTTAACACAACATTCCGTGTTGTACACGTATAATCATAGTCGGGCACAAAAACGTATAACTTGTGTTATGATAATGATGTTTAAAAAAATTGGTATCGTTCGGCGTCGTCATCCGTAATATTAAGGAAAGTAATTCTTTGCCTCTAAAAAGTTTTGAAATATCGACAAAAGTTTGGAAGCTTATTCTCGTGTTATTTGAAACATCTAGATGCTTAGATAGCGTGATCTGTAATTACTAATTTGGGACATTTTTTTATACTTCTTTAATTTATTTGATCAAGATAATGTAAAATCTTTTAAATAAACAACCCTGCATAAATATGATGAAATAATGATTTCAAATTTTAAGAACAAAAACTGGAGGGTTGTTGAAACTTTAATTCTCAATATTATGAGATATTTCCAGTTAGGCAGAAATAATAGAAAAGCAGTTTTCTGACTGGTCCCATTGGTGTAAGTTTTTCTCGGGGCTAATCTTGGGATCCTGGGGACCTCTCGGGTAAATAAAATCCGTTCTTCGAGAGCAGTGGCAAATGCAAATGAAATTGTCCTCTGTAATTAAACTCAAACTGACTGGGAAATAACGAACGATATTTTAATTTGATGTGTTATAAGTAGGCTTAGTTCGGCGCGGAGTTTAACAGGACCGTAGTCAGATTACGAATGAAAATGTTTACAGAAAATATGTCGCAACATAATACTATTACCAAAAAGCAAGGTTAAGGAGAGGATAAAATTTAAATGACACCACTGACCCGATAAACCTTAGTGTTGAGACAAGGCATATTGGAAGGAGTTAAAACATATTACTACGTGCTTTTTCTTTAAAGAAACGGCGACATTTATCACTTAATATTAACTTGTGTAAGGAAAATGACCGTTCAACGTCTACTGTTGGCAACAGACAGTATGAGAAATTGTTGAAGCGCGAACTATATGTTTGTGAATATATTTGCTGGTAACTACTAATATGTACCAAATAAAACTTTACATATGTTTTCCAAAATAAGGTGGATATAGATAAGTCAATGGCTACACCGGTAAAGGTAATACTTGGTTGGCCTTGGGTTCTTTTACTTACGTGCTTGGTAGAACATAACCAAAGGTTGATGATGATAAGCATATCAAAAATTTCCCAAATGGTTTAATACACAGATTAGCTGCTGCTGTAAAATATATTAAAGCAGAACAGAAGATTTAAGGAAAAAATACCAAAATGGGAAGTGCAAGACTAAAGAAAGAAGCAAATCTGTTATAAAAATGAAGTAGATAAATGTAATAATGAGATGGAACTAAAAGAAATAAATGAACTGACAAAAGCAGTAAGCCTAAACAAAGACAGGACAGAATGTTTGAAAAGTGAGAAAAGTAGAAAATATATAGCAGTACAGGGCATATCAATAGATACAACAGATAGTAATCGTTTGAGAGAGACAATGGGAAAACTTATAGAAAATGTAGATAGCAGTAAAAGTAATAGTTAAAGCAACACGAAAGCTAGTTGAAGAAAACTTGTTTGGTTACATTGGATAGTGAAGAAAATAGGACAAATGTAACGCAGTATACAAGTAAACTGAAAAATAGACACAAAGGAGCAAAAATATTTATTAGTACTTAATTAAAGAAGAAAGAAAAATCGGAGAAACGACGAAAAATTTGCTGTATTAACTTGGTGGAAGATAAAGTCTGTACATAAAATAAAGGTAAAGGTAGATTGGAAATATCGGTAAAACAAATGATAGTAGTTAAGAATCTATCTAAAGCTGTAGCAGAGAGAAACAATGATTTGACCTGGCAAGGGAATGGATTGAAGATCTGTTTAAACAACCATATACTATGCAAATGGTAAAAATGCAAAGAGCTAGGTAGTTGGGACATATAGATAGGATATACGATGGGTTAAAACAGTATTAATGGCTGGAAAAAGAAGACAAGAGGAGATACAGCAAAGTCATAGATTGGAAAGAAGAAGCCGAGAATAGAAGAAAGTAGCAAATAAATGTTGGAAAACTGGGTTTTTAAACATACGGCAAAAATTCAAGGGTTATTTTAAGGATATTTTGTCAATTAAATAAGGAATTTTCACAATTGCAAAATTCTTCAAGATCAGTTTTTATTAAAGGCTTAGATTGGAATTATGGATACCTAGCTAATTGAATCAGTATTTCTGCAAGGAAGAATTATCGGTGAGCTGTATAGACATTTTTTGACAAAACAGGAGACTACGGGGAGATGTTGACAATTAAAATGTGATTTTTAGGAAAAAAATCGTTCAGAAGTGTCGATAGATGAGATGGTGCGTTATCGTGCAACAAACACCGACTTCCTTTTGCGCGATATGGAATGATTTAGGATATAGCCAGTACTAATAATCTTTGTTTTAATTTTGAAACTTAAGTTTTGGATAATATGAAAAAATAACAGAAAATCAATGCTAAAATGGTCAAATATGAACATCCAATAAATAATGCTATTTTGAACCTTTCGTCGTATCCTCGAAAACGTATCACAGTAGACCCAATTTTACTTTGCCTATAAAACGATTCTATCCTCCAAGGAATATATTCCCTCGCGGACCATTTGAAAGAAAGTTTAACCAAATCGGACAACAAATAAGGATTTCACTATAAATGTGTAGAGACAAAGCATCGTGCGTTTTTGAGGGGGCAAATTATTGTTATTCGAATAATACTCGTGGAATAGAGACAACGTATCAAAGTCTTTGTGGATACACTTAAATTCAATAAAAATTTGTATGAAAACAGAATCCTCCTACATTTTTCCAACTCTTAATTTATACAGTTCAGATGCGGAGTATGACTATAAGGAATGAGGATGAACGACAGCTATCTTACTTAGAGACTTACCTTGACAGAATGGTTATTAATCAAATTTCAATTTAAATTATAATCACCATAACGGTTTGTTCACTGAGTGGATTTATTCGTTTTGTGTAAATAGGGAAAGTTTCTTAATCTCAATAACTCAGTTGATTAACTTTCGTTATTCATGGTTGTTAATATTCTTTATACAGGGTTTGTAGGTCTAACCATCATGAGCAGACGCGCTTCTTACACGCGTAGTAGGATTATGTTAAAAAATCCTAAAATTTCTTCGTCTAAATCATGCTTGCGCCTCCTTGGACGGCCAAATTCACGATATCTTGGAGTTAGGGCTCCTGATTCCATCGTTCTTGCATGAATTTTCCAAAACAATCTTTCCAGAAACAATCTTCTATCAGGGAAACGTTGCCGATACTCTTTTTGAGCCGCCAGATTATTTCTATTACAGAAACCATAAATAAAATGCATATCGGCATATTCACGGTTAGTAAAAGCATGACGGTTCATGGTAAAAAAAACCAATGAAATGCAAAGTCAAGCACAAAAAACGTAAGAATTTAAATGATAGCATGCGAAAATGACTATCATTAGTATCATTACCACAAAACTGTCACCATGAAAGATGCCTACCGTGTGAAAATGTTAAAAAAAGTTACTGTTCTGAGCTATACATTATTTAAAAAATAATTATTTATATGACCAAACTACTCAGAATTCGAAAAAAAAGTAGAGAAATGTTTTCTTCAAAAAAATTAAATTATTTGCTTGATAATTCAAAGGAATAAAAAATTCTAACCATTTCTGTTAAGGATAGTTAGAAAACTATTCTTATTTATAACCGATTTTGATGAAACTCATGATAGTTAAAAACCCTTATGGTATGATTATTACCTACAATTTTCATTCCATTATCTTAATCAGAAAGAAAGTTATTATCCAAAAAATCCAAAGGATAAGACCCCTTTGGAGGGCCATATCGCAGTAACGGTGCTCCGGAGGACCAATGCTTATAGGAACTTTTTTTTACTATTTTTTTGGCTCTACTTTCACCTCCTTAAATTTTGTACCAACTTTTCCAAACACCCTGTATAACAACTTCACAGATTGGTGTTACTTAAAATCTCTCGCACGTGCTATTAATCAAATCCCTTCTTGTTTTATTTACCAGACATCTCAGCTAATCTCAGTTATACCGAATGCTGATTGGTCAATTAGGTGAGATTAACTGAGGTCTCAAGTAAATAAAACACGGCTATAGAACAGTGGAAAGACATTAGACATATAAAATCAATGGCAAGGGCATGGAACAGGTTAGTCAACTGTCGCGCCTGTAGAAGAGTACGGTGTCGAATCGTTTCGATTGAAATCCCAAGACACAATCCGAAATATATAAATTCTTACCCAGTTCTAATGGTAATTCTATCAAAGGATAGTACGAAAGGAGCAAAAAAATGAATTGGTATGAAACGAAACCCGTATAAACAAGAATTCTTACCAGTTAGTGATCTAGTCGTTAATATAAATCTAGCGTAAGTGACTACCGAATAAAATTCGCAATTAAAAATAATTAACAATATTCACCAATCGCGAAGATGAGCTTTATTCAATATATATATATATATAATCAAATTCCCTTTTACCCTTAGGTGTCGGGATTACAAATAATTTCATATAATTAATTTCCTAACTATTTATATACAAATTTTCTCCATTGCTTTTTGTCTCTTGCTATTAGCTTTGCTTCTTGCCATGACTTGCCTCTATTTTCTAATGCTTTTTCTGCTGTGCTGTCCCACGTTTCCCTTGGTCTTCCTCTCCTTCTTTTAACTTGTATTTTAGCCTCCCATATCCTTTTAACTTGTCTGCTATTATTCATTCGTTGTAAGTGCCCCCACCAGCTCAGCTGTCGCTGTTCTATGAATTCTAATACCGATTGTACTCCTAAATCTTTTCTTATTTGCTCACTTCTCATTCTATCCATTTTCGTTACTCCTCTCACTCTCCTCAGATACTTCATTTCTGTTGCTTGAATTTTACTCTTATGTTGTCTCGTTAATATCCATGTCTCACACCCGTATGTTAAAATTGGTTTGTAAACTGCTTGATACACATTCATTTTAGTTTTTGTAGATATTTCCCTCTTGTTAATGAAGCTTTTATTTATACTATGGTATACTTTCATTGTATTTTCTATTCTTTTTTCTATTTCTTTGTCTTGTTTTCCTGATCCTTCTATCAATACCCCTAGATAATCAAAATATTGTACTTGTTCCAGCCTCACTCCATCTATCTGTATATTTATTTTCTGTTGTTCTTCTGTTATTGCCATTGTTTTTGTTTTCTTGACATTTATTTTCATTCCATTTTCTCCTAATACTTCTTTCCACATATCTATATTTTTCTGTAACTCTTTCTCACTTGCAGCCATAATTACAACATCATCTGCATATGCACATTCTGAAATATTTACTGCTTGCAAGTTTCTGTATCCTACAAATAGAGTTTTTGTTCTTTCATTACATTTCTTAATGATGTGATCCATAAACACCGTAAATAGCGTAGGGCTCATTCCTCCACCCTGTCTTAGTCCTTCCTTTGTTTTAAATATTGCCGATTTCATATTTTTATAAATAACTAAATATATTTGATGTGTTTCTATATAAGCTCTGTATTACTTTATTCAGTTTGTTATTTACTCCTTTCTTCTCTAATATGTCCCACACCTTTGCTCTCGGTACTTTGTCAAAAGCTTTTTCTAAGTCTATAAAAGCCATATAGGCATTTCCTCTCTTCAATCTTGTCTTATTTATAATTTGCTGAATAGTAAATATATGATCCTGCGTACTTCTACCTTTTCTGAAACCACTTTGGGACTCTATCATTGTCATTTCTATTATATTCTTCACTCTTGTATTTAAAATTTGCTCATATAATTTCATTCCAGTACTCAACAGCATTATTCCTCTATAATTATTACAATCTTTCTGATCTCCTTTCTTAAATATAGGCAATATCAAACTCATTTCCCAGTCTGTTGGTATCGTTTCTTCATTCCAAGTTTTATTTAGTATTTCCAATAATATTTCCATGCCATTTCCTCCCATATTTTTAAGCATTTCTGATGTTATTTTGTCTTGACCTGGCGCCTTTCCATTCTTTAGTTTTCTTAAAGCTTGAGCCATTTCTTCCATGGTTATTACTTCGTTTTCTCTCGCATTTATTTCGTTCATGTTTGTTTCTTCTTGTCTATCACTCATCTCTTCTCCCTCTAGTAGTTCTTGAAAATATTCTTTCCATCTTTGCATTATTTCCAATTCGTCTGTCAAAATCTGTCCGTGAGCATTTTTTACTGCAGTAGTTTCTATCTTTTTCCCTTTTCTCATAGTTTTTAGTACTTTATAAAATAATTTTTCATTACTTTTATAATTTTCTTCCATTTTTGTTCCGAATTCCGACCATGCTTTCTCTTTAGCTGCAGCTACAGTGCTTTTAACAATATTTCTTTGCCTTTTATATTCTTCCAGGCTTTCTTCAGTTTTCTTTGTTAAGTAAACTTTCCATTTTTTCTTTTAACTTTGAACTTGTTGTTTTATTCCTTCGTTCCACCACACTGTTTGTTTCCTGTTGTTTAATATTTTACTTGTTCCACATGTCTTCTTGGCACATTCCAATATTATTTCTTTAAACATATTCCATAGTTGATTCGCGGTAATATTTTATTCAAAGTTACTTAAATGTATAATTTTTATTGAAGGGGACGATTCTGCCCCTTCAGTGGTTGAACTATGAGAGAGAAGGAGCGAAATATGAAAAGAGCAACAGAAAAACAGTGAGCCATATAACATAGGTGTGTTCGCTTGGATCAGAAGTTTTATAATACACTGGTATCTTTACGACTAAAAACTTGATGCATATCAAGAGTGTTTCTGAAATAAGTGCGTGATAGAGGGCACGAGAATGAGCAACTCTTATTAAGCAATTGGTGGACTAAATGATTTGACGTTCCACATTATTTCTACAATCAAGCAAATCTGATGATAGGTCAATATGTAATCATAAACCTCGTTCAGGAAGATTCGAGCCGCAGTACTCGCTACATTACCCAAGAAGTGGGTGTATCCAACAGTACCGTGTAGCCTGTATTGCGGGAACAATTATTTCATCCCTATTATACAGGGTGTGAAGTGTATAGTCTATAAAAATTAAACTACAACTTTCTAACGATACTTGTAATAGAAAAGTCTTATACGAAAAAGTTTTTATGGCAAATTAAAGTTCAATTATGGATCAAAATATTTTCTCTGGAACGGTCCTGTCCGTTTGCTGTACGATAAGTTACGTGCTGTAGACCAGCCGCGTAACCAAACGTCGTTGAAAGATAGAAAGAAAGGTACTTCTCAATTTTTGGGGAATTTTTCAATGCAAAAGTACAAAGTAAGAAAAATAGATATTTAAAAAAAAACTGATATTTTCTTATTATAATAATTAATAGTATTTACTATCTTAAATGCATTGTTGTTACTGCAAAAGTTCGCAACAAAACCACATCCGTTAGCATCCATTAAAATATGGAACAAAGTGAAATAAAACTTACCATTTCTAGAGAAAATATTGAAATTGATCCCCATTAGCTCGGATACAGGCATGGCGAATACTTTCTCAAATTCCAGGTATTCCCCTAATTGGGTCAGCAGCTTCAAGTATACGGTTTCGCAACTTTTCCACCGTAGGAATTGGAGTATTGTAAACCAATGACTTCAATTGACTCCAAAGATAAAAGTCCATTGGAGTTAGATCGGGTGACCGAGGTGGCCATGGCACAGGACCAAATCGTCCAATCCATCGTTGAGGAAACATTTTATTCAAAAGTGTCGTTACTTCTCGAGTACTGTGTGGAGGAGCCCCATCTTAAAGATAAAACATGCGTGCCCGAACTTGTAATGTCACATCGTCCAATAATTCAGGCAACCGGTTCTTCAAAAAGTCCATTTAGTCGTCCTTCAAAGAAATAGGAACCCACAAGTGCATCGCCTATTATACCAGCCCAAACATTTACCGAGAACCGATGTTGAAAATGAATTTCTCTAATCACGTGAGGATTTTCATGGGCCCATATGTGCATATTATGGAAATTCACTTCATCACGGGTAAATGTCTCCTCATCTGTTACACAAACATAAGCGGGAAAGTGTACTTGATTGGCACATTGCCGTAAAAATCATCTGCAAAATCGCATGCGTTGATCACAATCCGGGGATAAAATCTTTTGAACTGGTTGCACATGATAGAAGTGCAACAGCTGGCGCCTTAAGATGCGATGTACGGTACGAGATGAGGTTCCTACTTGCTGTGCGAGTCGTCGAGTACTAATTGTGGGGTCTTCGTCAAGATTTTCCACTGGCATCTTCAACGTTAAGGTTCACTTGATGACCACGTCCTTCTCCCGTCTCTCACAGCCCATAAACGCACTGTAGGACTGTATTTACATATGGGGATGACGTAGTGGCCATCGTTCCCGGTACAACCTAGTCGCCGCGAGCTGCACCATACACTAACACCATATCGACACGTTCGGAAATAGTAAATGCATTGTTTTCTCGGTTCATTGTAAAACTAGTTTGTGCACAAGCTAAAAAATTTTTTTTTAATGTAATCAGCACGCTATTCTCATTTTTTACTTCTTTAAAAAAATTACACTGTCACTGCGAAATTACAAAATAAAAACTTTTGTCTGGAATCTTTCACTTTTAAACACTGATGGGTCGATGGACGATGCTTAATATTTAATAATTAAGTGAATAATGAATTCAATACAAATACAAAATCAGTTGACTGCATAATTTTTTTGACAATGTAACCTAACCTTCATTTAATATTACTAGTGTTAGATTATACCGACTTAAAGTATAAGGTTGCATCTCGGGTCGCATAAAAACATTTACAAAGTTTTTAATAAATAACACAGGGTGGGCCTTCATTTTCGTTGAATAAATGAACTTAAAAAACGCGAAGATAGAACTTTTTCGTATCATCAAGAAGTTGTAGTTTAAATTTTATAGATTATACACGCCACACCCTGTATACAAAATGTTCAGGTCTTGTTTTCAAATTTTGAATAAAATGTTCATATTCTATCCGCAATGCAGTGGAATCAGTTTAGATCAGATACCATGTCAAATATCGTTTCATTAAGCGCTGCTGTTTTTTGTAACTGATTCATTTTTCTCGCAACAGAGATAATCCTTGGAAAAAAATGGCAATATCATTTAAATTTAATACACACAGAGCAACTTTCTGAGCAGAATTCATGTAGATAAGCATTGATTATTCATAGCAAACAGGCGCCTTCTTTCTTTTTTATGGGTGATAAATTTTAAAGCTTTCTTTTAATCATTTAATGGGAAGAGCACTTGAAGCTAAGGAAACCAAACGATACAGCTCGAAAAATGTATGTATATCCAGTATGAAACTAAAATGCAAAATCTCTTGATATTAATTAAATAATTTTTTATACATAAAACAAAACAATACGAAATTTTATAGCCAGTTTAGAGTTGAGAGCTAAATGAATGCAATATTAAAAATTTCACGACATCTTTGAGTAATAAACTTTTTTTTAAGCCTAAATATACCCTCGGCACAGTTTATTGCTCACGAGATATAATATTACTGTGTCATGCTGTTTACCTTTCACTGTTTAGGGAGTTTCGCCCACGTAAATGATGAAAAAGAAGTTAAATTTATCAAGTTTATAAAAACAAAGTGGGTTTCTGTTTGTTATGAATAATCAATGCTAATATACAGCAATTTCCCTTTGAAAGTTGTCCTGTATAATAAATTTAAATAATATACCTATTTTTATCGAGAGTTTCTTCACCTGTGCAAATATGAATTAATTAAAAAAAAATGGCAAACCTGGAATGAAAGATATTTGACATTTTATTTGTGTCTAAATTTTGAAGGCAAAACGATAGATGTCTTCCGAACATTCCGAACAATTTTAATGAATTAAAAAATATATTGTGACTTAGAAAAAATCATATTAATTACCTATTGTTTTATACAGGGCCATCACTTATTCTGTCAAATAAGTATACCTACAATAGTGGTACATAAAAGTACAATATATCACTACTAAAATTTACTTATTGGAAAAAGTCAAACTGATAAAATGTATAATACAAACACATAAAAGTTTTAGATATACAGGGCGATTCAGTCATAATGTTAATTAATAGCATTGTGACTGAATCACCTTGTATAACTTGGTACATAATTTACAATTTATTGGCGTTTCTCAAAGGTCACAAACAATTAAAGTCACATCTAAAAATGTCATAGAAATGACAGAATTGTTCAGATTTCAATTCTACATTACTGGCCGCTTGAGGCATAAAAAATAAGAGTTGGTATCAAATAATGTAGTTTCAGTCAAATATTTGTGAACAATGCAAAAGTCTACTTATACGAAAATTTTAAACTGTAAAAATGCCTTCTGGTCTGTTAAGAATTTGTTTATATTGTCATTAAATTATGATTTATATGTTAGTAAATGACTGCATTCACTATCATCACATCTAATTGAAAAGTTGGTAACTTAGAAACATTTAGTGTTTTAGTGTTAATTCAAATTCTTATTAAAAATGTCAAATGAAGAGTTCTCTAGCTGAGAGCGAATATATGCTTTAAAAAATTACAACATTAATATGAAAATCGCGACCTTCCATTTAAATTTTCCGAATAAATGATTTAAATCGCACAAGGTAATATTTTATGGTTTCTCATGATGAACACAATCATCAACCTTTGATACAGAAGAAAAATAATTTCAAGCTTTTTCGAATATCTTACTAATTTGTAGCAACTAACAAATATATTAATACAAATAGAATAGAGCATAGGGCCCAAATTAGATCTCTGGGGTACTCTGAAAATGGAAATGATGCGGAACAACTAGATTTACCTCAATTTTTCAAAGGTATCTTTAAAAGTAAGTTCTAAATAAAAAACTTTACAATTTTGATGAAAGAATAACATACCATAAGGATAGGATAAGCAAATTTAATCAAAGATGATCCATTAATTCGGGATAAAAAAGACCACTTTATGTATTTTTTAAAAACATCCGGTACGTTGCGTGCTCTTGCTTATAATTCGGAAATCTAGAGAATTGCCTTTTGACTTAGTAACGCAGAGGGAGTGGAAGATTTACGGTGTCCCTATCGGAAGCCGGAATTCTATAAAGAGAAAGGGCTAAGGACGAAGGCTGAAAAAAGATTTCCTGAGCGAAAACTCTCGCCCAAGTTGTAATATCAATGATTGGCATGATGTGTGCCAATTTCTCTTTATCGTGCTCTGTTTCTTTTGTCTTCTATATTGAATAATAAGTTCAACTGGGGTTTTTATTTTACTGACACTTTTTTTACTTGTATGACTTTAATATGATTTTTTTAACCCACAACATGTTCAGCATTACAATTTTTAATAATACTAAAAGAGATGTAGTAAGTTGTTTGAAAATAAATGAACGAAACATTTCCTACACTTTTATGATATAAATCTTAAAACAGAATTTTTTTTCTATCCCAATTCTATTTCGAAATTCATTCAGAATAATTTAAAAAAAGGACGAGACGTTTTCTCTCGTGAAGAGTTAAGCGAACTGAAGTAATTCAATGGAAAAGAAAGAAATTGTTCATTGAAGCGGGATTAGAGAGCTTATAATAAAAATATTTAAAACACCTTGAAAATAGGTTTCGATTTTTGCGTTATCGTCTGTACAAACACATAATCATGCCTATGTCAATATCAGATAAAAATTAATTTTCCTTTTGTAAAAAATTAACCATGTTTACAGAGTACAAAGGTATTTTTCGATAAATTTAATACACACAAATTCGTTACAATCAAATTATCCTTTGAAAATTTAATTTTATGGTCATTTGATTTTAATAAAACGAAATCAAAGGCAACTGAAAATTACAGTGTGTCAAAAAGTATTTACACTATTTAAAAGCGAACTTAGACATTTCTTTTAGATGAAAATAGAATTCCAACTAATACGAGAAGATATTCTAACGAAATATGTTATACGAGTACACTAATGCAAACAATTAAAGGGTTAAAAGAATTTCCGAAATTTTTCCGTGATTTTTGACAGACTGTATTTAGGTGAAAAATGGTCGTATCGGGAATTAAAAGAAAGCATTTTAAAGCTCTATAGTTCTAGTTTTTAGATCTTTTGGTCGAAATTATTTAGGAGCTATGGTTATTATGCAATTCTAAGAAATAGGGCGACAAAGAAATTTTCTTTTTTTTTTCTTCGTGTCCACTGACTTGGAAAAGTTTTTTTCAGCTAAGCCATTGCATGGACCAGATAACTTGTTTATTCAGCTTCAATTTCCTTTTTTTTTTTAAATTTCGATACGACCATGTTTCATCGAAATATCGGACTTTTAATGGAAGGATCCTTTTGTCTTCAGTCATCGATATCTCGGCGATAAATGGTCGTACAGACAATTGAAGGACAGTTTCGAAAACTGGAACAAATTTCCTATAACATGCTGCCGCAAGTTTCCAGAAAAAATTTTTTTTCGTCTTTTTGCACGAATTTTAAAAAACAGGAAAAAATGGTAATTTATGGTTTTTGAGGAAATTGACGGCTAAATTAGAAATATTCACGAAATGACTAATGTTAAACATGACTTTTACAGTTCGATACATCCAGAAGAACCCTGTGAAGTTTCATCTCGATCCAGAGAACCGTTCCTTTGTTTCAAACAGTCAAACTTTTAAAACAAATTAAAGAGTCACGTTTTTTGAGCTTGAACACTTCATAATCATGATTAAAATGGAAAAAAAAATGTTTGAGGCTTTCTCACATTTTTACGCCAAATAACGTTTAAATTAATAAAAAAAAATTCAAGCATTGCAATAAAAAGACAAACGTTTTTAGGTTTTTTTTATTGCAACGTTAAGTTGAGCTTTAAATATCGTTTTTCCTCTTCCAAAAACTTTGGAAGTTAATAATATGACAATTAGATGTTACTTGAAAGTAATTTTGAGTTTGATAAAATCATAGAACCAACAGTAAACATAATAATTTAAATTAAATTTGTAAGCTATACAATAATTTTTTTTAATTTAAGTTTAAATACTGAATTTTGGTATTTTTCAAAATAACAATGAAAAAGGTGAAATAAAAGAAATCCATGGGGCCAAGAGTGAGTTACTATAGCTGAAGAAATTGCAAATCACCCCTCTTTTTGGCCAATTCAATAATAATAATAATAATAACATATTTCCTCAAGTCAATACATCAATTGAATAGGAATAGAAAAAAACTAAATAAAGACAAGAATAATTTACAACATCAGATTAATTAACAGAAAGTTGATTAACAAAATATTCTTCCACGGAATAGAAACATTTATCAAGCAAGTATTTGTTCAGAGTCTTTTTGAAGCAAAGGTACCAATTTTTATATTATGTAATTTATTGAACTGTGTATCCCACAGAATTCTCTTAAACTAAAATTTTACAATTTTGATGACAATAGCGTGTCCCATATTGTGTCTTATCTATCGAACAGAACTCAGTATGTTTTTTATAATTCTTGTTCTTCACACCTAACAAAAATAGTTCATGGAGTTCCCCAAGGCTCAGTATTGGGCCCTATTCTATTTCTTATCAATATCAATGATTTTCCAAATTGCGATATAACTTACTGATTTTATATTATTTGCCGATGATACTACCGCTTTAAAGTCAAATAATAACTTAATTAAAGTCACAGAGGATTCAGTGGATACGCTGCCGCTGATAAAGGACTGGTCTATTACTAATAGATTGAACTTAAATGTTGACAAAACTCAATCTTTGCTTTTTACACTTCGCTATATCAATACTTATAAGAACTCAAATAGCATTAAATTTCTTGGAGTTCACCTTGACACTAAATTGAGTTGGGAAAAACATGTCAATGATTTATCCACACGTTTATCTAAGAATATTTTCCTACTGCGTAATTTGGATCGTGCAGTATCTAAGTCTGTACTCATATCTGCATATTATGGTACTTTTCCTGCCACCATGACTTATGCAAGTTTTAATTGGGGTCATTCGTCTCACAGTGATAAAATTTTTGGTTTACAACGTAAATGTATTAGAATTATGGCTGGAATAAAATACAGAGGTGATTGTCGGGAGCACTTGAAACTGCTAAATATTCTTACAATGCTGTCAGTGTGCATATTTGAATGTCTCATTTATATAAAAAATAATCAGAATAGATTTGTTCGACAAGAAAGTTTTTATTTTCATCATACAAGAGAGCGACACAATATTAGGCCTACATTTCATAGATTAGCGAAATCCAGAGATGGCACAAATTTATTTTTGCATTAAATTCTTTAATAGACTAGAATCTGAGATTCGATCACTAAATTCAGACTGCTTTAAGGCCAGAATTAGAATAGTATATTAAACAACAAAGTTTGAAAACGACTCTTTGCACACGAACGAGACATATTGTGCAAAGAGGTTTTCAAACGATTTTTTTACGATACTTTTTATACGATTGCAAACAGAGACCACAAAAATCAAATTTTAATTTAAATGGTTTTTATTACTAAAATTGCCAACGCATTAACAAAATAAATTAAATACAACTTTTAATTTAACTCGTTTTTATTAAGAAAATTGCTAACACATTAACAAAAGAGACTAATATTTAATATTTATGGTAACATTTGAACATTCCCTCAAGGTTACGCTGGGAAAAGCAGTATTATTGTGCATCTTGTTTTCGGTAATGGAGAATATTTTTGGTGTCGTGTTTTTAGTGCAGTTTTTCAGCGTGCGGTCGTTGTTTTCTTGTTGTATTGCAGTAGACGATCGTTGTTCTGGTTCTGTGGCAGCAGAAGACACTGAAGACTCTATCTTTTTCGAAACTTCCATTTTATTTCTCAAACAGTCATCAACGTAGCCTTCGGCAACTGTACTGGATTTCCACCCTCCATGGCGTTTGAGGGCAAGCAGATTTGAGCCAGAATTGACTAAAATTGTGGCCGATGAACGCAGAAAACAATGTCCCGTGTAACTTTCTGGATTCTCTAGCATCAAAAACTTGGCGATTTCCCTAGCCATGTTTCCAATTTTGTTGATGCCAACGTTTTGGCATGAACATTTTCCGTTTTGATAGTTTAAAAAAACCTGCCTGTCTTCAGATTAGGAGGACGAAGAGCATAGTACTTTTTTAAGATAGTGTAAAGGTTTCCTGTAATTGTAAAACACCTTTGTACCTTTGTTTTTGTATTCTTCAGTTTAATCAGCATAGCACTGCCGAAATCTTTGGTGTCTTCTATTTTGAGATAACATAATTCCTCCCTTCGACATGCCCTAGATAGTCCAACTGCCACCACGGCCTTGATAAGTAAATATTTGTCGTCTGATGCTTTCTTCAAAAACCGGCAAAAATCATCTTCTGTGAGGATTAGGGACTTCTTTGGGACGTAGTTTTCGGATTTTCGTATTGATTAGCGCTTGCAACTTTTTATAGCTTCCAAGATCTATGTTGTGATTGGCATTTAACGTTGACTTGAGCATCGAAAAAATCGTCCACAACGTCGAAGATTTATATTTCTTAGATAGTTCTTCAAAATACACATTACTGCGTTTTCTGGGAGAAAGTTTGGACATTTTTGGGTAGTCGCCAGTTCATAAATCGGCTTAACTCAGCTTCATACCTGCTTCTGGATTTTGTGGGCAGCAATTCCGAACATATTTCGCTTGCTTTCTGTAAAATCTCTTCAGAATCACACATTTTCACACCCAAACTTCGGGAATTTAACAATTTTTGAAGTATCTAATCAACAAAATAAAGGAGCCGTGACGATTGCTATGAAACTCAGCCAACTTTGCATAATTTGGGTGACAACATCAAACAAAAATCACAATCTGGAGACGCGTGTGCAAAGATGACATAACCGTGTGCAAAATACCGTTTTCAGAGCGTGTTTTCCGTGCGCAAAACTCCCTTTTGCAAGGCAGTCGTATAAAAAATATCTTAAGAGAAAAGCGTTTTACAATTTTGATGAGTTCCATGCTGACCAGTTTTTAGATATTTAATGTATGTTCGTAATATTCACTTTTCGTGTTTTTCTTTCTTTGAAATTCCGATTAAAATAGTTTCTTAAAACGGCAAGCCGGAACCGTAAACTTTTTATTGGGGTAAGACTGTTATATGATCCAAAAATTTTTAAGAGCATAAAATAGATGTATTTTAAAATAAGGTTTTTCGCACTATTGTTTTTAATGTGCGATTTGTTCTTTTCTAGGTGTCATCAAAATGAGGAAGTCAATGAAAATCACTTAAAGAAAATGAAAAGCGACCCGTATTCCGAGCAAGTCCAACAAAACTACAAATCCGTAATAAACGCCTCGCAATCCTACCGAAACATCACCTACCAACACTTGAATTTCACGGACTTTAATACCTCCGTCTTCCAACTGATCCCAAAAAGCGAATGGGGACCTAAACGCGATCCGTTGTACATAATCATACCCATAAGCGTCATATACGTGATCACCTTCATCCTTGGCGTCCTGGGAAACGTCAGCACATGCGTCGTCATCGCACGGAACAAATCCATGCACACTGCCACCAACTACTACCTGTTCAGTCTAGCGATATCAGATTTGTTGTTGCTAACTTCAGGGCTACCGCCAGAGATATACTCCATCTGGTACAAGTACCCGTACATTTTCGGAGAGACTTTTTGTGTGCTTCAAGGCTTTGCCGCTGAGACTTCCGCTAATGCAACCGTGTTGACTATCACAGCTTTCACTGTGGAACGTTACGTTGCCATATGCCATCCATTTCTATCCCATACTTTATCCAAGCTTAACAGGGCCATAAAGTTCATCATCGCCATATGGCTTATAGCTATGTGTCTGGCTGTGCCGCAAGCCATGGCCTTCGGAGTGGTTTGTAGACGCGCTAGGGGCATCATCATAGAAGATCAATGCGTCTGTGTCCTTAAAAGATCGGTGATCCCTCACGCTTTCGAAATATCTACTGTTGTATTTTTCGTAGCTCCCATGACTTTGATCACGGTGCTGTACGTACTCATAGGGCTACAGCTGCATAGGTCGACGGTGGGGCCGTCTAGGGGGAACAGCGTGAAAATGAAACACCGTGTTTACAAACCGATGTCTAATTGCGTGAATCAGTCGCCCCAGACTGTGGTGATGTTGAATGGGGATCAGGAAAATTTGCAGAAGGTCAAACAGGATGAGGAAGAGGGTAGGAAGAACTTCGCGAAGAACGCACAGGCTACCAGACACGTTGTGAAGATGTTAGGTAAGTAAATGATCTTTATCTAACTTTTCTAATATTGTTGAACAATATTACTCGCCAAAATACTGGTATTCGTAGTGCTGTAACCTGAGGGGTTATTTCTTTGATTATCTACCTTTAATTAATTATCTGTTTCATTCTCGAAAGAGTTACTACTTAATTCTCGAAAGGGAGTTTATTTGATTATCGTTATGCTTTAATTAACACGTGGGAACTTAGAAATGTTGTATGTTCAGAAAATACATTTCAGTCACTTACCCTTTCATTGCTTACGTGGAATGTTATCCAGTGGCTGGCTATACAGGGTGGCACTGAAGTTGGAGAAACAAAAGGAAACACAAAACTTCCAGGAAGGGTTTTATTAACAATAAACAAAACAAACAAACAAACAAAATAACAACGGAGCGGCTCGCGACATTATTAATTAATTTATTCAAACGCGACAGCGTACCGAGATTCAGGGAATGTGCGCTTTATACAAAATTTGGAAAAAACTATTCTATTATTAAATTTAATTAATTAGCCCGAGACTCTAAAGTTAATAATTAGTCTGTTCAATGTGAAACCTAAGAACGAACTGCTCTTCTTGCAGATCCTTCTCAAATTCCACACTTTGCTTTGACACGCCCATTTCTTGGGTCCAGAAGTTTCTGTTCTTGTCTTATTGGCCGGGACCCTGAATGTCGGGATGCTTTAATAATTATCTTAATAATTATCTGATTAACTGAATTTACATTTATAACAATAATTATATGACTTACTAGTAACCCTAACCTTCCCCTATGACTCCACGTAGCAATTACGGGACAGATTAGTCAATCTCATTTAATCTACTCTTATAGCTTGGAAAAATCCGTCAAAAAACCCAGCTGCTTAGGTATACTCTCTTTTCGAATTACTATCAATTTTACAATATAATTTCATTCTAATGTGGAATCTCTACTCTCTTTCTCGCGGTTCCGCGCAAAGATGGGGTTCTACGCGGCGGCGGCGCCTACCAGACGCTTAACACATGGCCCCGACAGTTTGAGTGAACTTGTTGAATATTGGTAATTTTCTCCGAAGGACTGTCTTGGCGACCTCTACTTGAAAACCATTAACCTCCGATAATTTGTGTCGACTGAAATATCTTACTTTTTGACCCATCCTTCCGAGAACTAATAAATAACTGACTGCGCAACCCGGCTTTTGTTAAGTGCAAAAATTGAATTCTTAATCTAGTTCGTGATTCAACAGACATTGTGTTGAAGAGACAGATCTTATTTACAACTCCGAGGTTATACAGAGTACTAGTGACTTTTAAGACTCATTCCTTAAAACAAATCATGTTAAAACGAGTCCCAAGGGCTTTTACAGTATTTCGAAGTGACAGCTTTTGTTCTGTTGATTAAGAACCATCGGAGACATAACAGAACCGCAGTGTCTTTATGAAAATGTGAGCTCTGTCAAATTGGCTGTTATTGTGGTAATTTGTTGGTTTTGTATTACTGACCAAAAGTTTCCACAGTAGTTGAGGCCAAAATTAAGTTCTTTCCTACTTATTATAGCGATTTGAGTCAGTTCTGCTTATAATGGCTACAGTGTAGTATGAGTAGAATATTGCAATAATAACAGTAACTTCTGTGAAAAGTTTATAAAAAAAATTTATCGGATGACTTCGAAAAGTTGCTGTGACATATAGTTTTTTTAGCCATTTTTCCCCAGCGCTGGATAAGCTACTGTAACTTCAAGCTACGGCGCGCTTTAGTCGCAGAGCATGCACAATTGGGTTGTGCCTTGTTAAATCTAATATTTAAAGGAAAAGTTCACCACGAGCTCTATCATCCAACAAAACCTAAATTCTTTTAAATAAGATAAACTATGAAACAGTATTTAACAAGCAATCTAGCAGTAATCGGTAATAGTAAAAATACACAAAAATAAATAAATAATCTGTTTACTCCCCTGATTTTTATAACACTGTAACACTTAAAGATTTTGTGGAAAATTTTCGAGTACCAGTACCAGGATCCTCTTCCACGGTGTTTAAAATTTCTGGTTCAAAAATCCCATAGTCTCTTAAATGTTGAACTAATCTAACAAACATTTTCTTATTCGGTACTTATAAGTCAGCGTAATATATCTGATACTGTTTTCTATGCTCTTGGTAAATAGTAGGTTCTAACCATATCAACTATTTTTTAATCCTTCGATAGTGTCTGGTCTATTGACATACTCTTTGCTTTTTAGATAACCCCACAAAAAAAATCTATTGTGGTTAAGTCAAGGGAGCGTGGTGGCCATTCAAGCAGCCATCTTTTGCTCATCCATCGATTTGGGAAAACTGCCCACAGTTCTTGTAAGACGTTAACCTTGTAAGGATGCTACTTTTGAGACTTCAGAGTTCTGTGAACTGTGGACTTCGACAAGTTGAAGTTGGCTGAAACAGATCTAATGGATGAGTGAGGATTTTCAGTAACGGCGAGCATCACATTTTGACACTAAATCTTTTATACTTCCGATTTCTTCAAACTTTTTGGATACTTTACTTATTGTAGATCGACTAATTCTCTGGTATGGATACTTATGGTGAAATAAGTCACATACCTATTGTTGACTACAGACTTTATCTTCGCTTTCAGTTATAATTAAAATTACAGTTCTCTGTTTTTCGCAGAAACGGGTAAACCTTTTTCAAAATAATTTAATAACGAATGAATTGGAACTAAAACGATTCAAGTTATACCTAAGGTACTCTGGTGAATTTTATGTATTATGTGAAGGGGCTATGATTATTTAAAATAGTCCTCAGTACGACATAAAAGACAAGTTTTTACATTTTTTTTGATAACTATAACAAAAAAGTTGGTATATCGCTGGATTCGTCTATTTATACTATAAAATATAGAGCGTCCTATTAAAAAAAATGTTTGTAGGCAATGTCATAGGTCTGTCAAACATTTCTCAAAAAAATGGAAAATATTTATTAATTTACCTGTTTCATAAAATCTTAACAGGAAAAAAATATGAATTTTGAACAATAATTTTCAATATTTTTTGCATTCTTACAATGAAATTTTAATTGCATTTATAAATCTATTTGAAGGGCAAATGCTTAAATAAAATTTTTTATAAAAACGATTCCCCATGAAATATCTTAAATATCTCACGTTCTATAAAAAATCAATTAAATCACATCATATACCTTTCGTATGCCCGTTATATTGATATCAAATTCTTTACAAGATGGTTTTTGCCAAACTTTTTCAATTCAAATACTCCTAAAAGTTTTCGTAACGCTTACATAAAAAATGTTAATAATTCTTATTACACGAAGAAAAGCAAGTAAGCTTAAAATGATGAGATCCAATCGATTGAGACTTACAAATTACTTTATAACAATTTTTCCGTCAGTTCTAAATTTAACACAACAAAGATCCGTCAATTTGGGACACATTTTTTTTCTTTTCATAAGCGAAATCAATCAGAGAACAGCCAAAAGTGAAATATCGTTTCATTTAGTTGATATTTTGATTCCTCTTATATATCTTCCGTTGACGCTTTTAGACCCGTACACTTAGATGCCTGAAAAGTTTTCAGATTGATGATGAAGAATGAGGTGCGTGGGCATTTACCTTTTATCATCCATCATCGCAGAGGGAGATTAATTAACTTTGGTCCTTTTGGTCAAATCGGAACTTCATTCAGTGGAAACCCAATTTTATTCTCGAATATCAAAAAGCTGTTTGAAATAATTGAATGTACTTTTGAGTCATCTCGGTCAATAAGCAAACAACTAATTTGTACATATGGTATTGTTACAAATATATTTTTACAAATGTAAAATAGATCACTTTATATCAGGACCCTGTATTGTATTAAATCTGATGATTTGAATGAATTGATCCACCGCTAAGACTAATTTCGAACTGGATTAATTTTTACTATTATTTTCGACTTGTCTTTATGGACGGAATCGTACTAATATGAGGAATGACAAAAAATGCGATTTTGAGCTGAATTTGTTTATTATAATTCAATCTTTCAAGCAAACAATAGGATCTCAATCTCTTTCAGTTGAAAATTTGCTAATTCAACATTAGATGTTGTCAAAAATCTGTGTGAAACAAATATGCAATAAAATGGTGAAAATAATGTTAACAAACAGAATATAGTTAATTATGCCGAAAATAAATTAAGATCAAGACAATTTAATATTAAATATTTAAACAAAACGTATAAAAGTTGGGTTTAGTTTGAATAATTGAATTATTCTAAAATTCATAGAAAATCCTTCAATAGTAAAATAACACGATTTATTTGCACAGAAAGCAGGGGAAAATTGGTAGGAACTAAAGTATTGTCTTAGGACGTCGTCACCTGACTCGTATCTTCGAGGTGGTATTTACACAGCCGTCCCCTTGGTACACATTTATTGCTCTCATATACAGGGTGGTTCACAGATGCGGCATGAGAAATGGAGTCAATATCCTAAAAATATTTTTGTGAAATCCTTATAGTTTCCGAGAAATAAATTATTGAAGTTATAGCACTTTCAACCATTACATAGCTGGACAACTGTAGTCGCTAGCGTCATTCACAATACGCGTGGTCTCAGCGACTCCGAGCACTGAAATCTGATTTTACAATCGTCGTTGCGATAGTACTTACAATAGTTTTTTAGTAGTTAGTGTCAAATGGCTTGCGTGTATAGCAACTCGTAGTTGATGGATATCGTTTTAATTTATGGTGAAGCAAGACAACATTTGTATTATGATGAAGCATTTGTGTTATTGGTTTATGAAACCATATAGGTTGTGTGGACTGTAAGGGGAATGAAAATACTCTTGCTTCGTTTAAAATAACGATTTTTAATTTTTAATTAATGTATTATAAAGATTGACTTTCTTAATCATAATAATAATGACAAGACGAAGAAAAAAATAATCTCAATTGGTTCTTTACGTTTGTAACGTTTTTTTTTATTATTTTATTTCTGCGCTCGCAAACTCGTAACGACAAAA